ATCCAGATTACACATAGTGGATCACTATTGATTCACATCTGCTGAGTTGCATCACTGCTACATTATCTTCATCTCTCTACACATCTGTCATTCATTGTCAGACTAGCAATGAAGTCTGGTCTGTTCTTGCCAAAAGGTTTACATCTCTTTCGAGATCTCACATTCATCAGTTGAAAAATAAACTAAGTCGTATTGTTAAAAAAGGTTCAACAATGGAAGACTACTTAAGTCAATTCAAATCCATTTCAGATCAACTTGCTCTGGCTTCAGCACCAGTTGAAGATGAGGATATGGTTCTCTTAGTTCTTAATGGTTTGCCAGATGAATATAATGCTTTCAAGACCACCATTAGAGCTCGGTTTGATCCTATTTCCATGGAAGATTTGTCTTCCTTGCTGTGTTCAGAGTCTATTCACGTTGAGTCTTCACTAAAACAAACTCATACTTCTGACATTCCATTTGCCTATTCTGCAACCAAAGGAAACTATAAATGAGGTAACAAAGGAGGTCATAGAGGTTCTTTTAGAGGCAGAGGTTATTCTTCTAGACGTTCAGATTTTTTCAGAGGTTCAGAAAGTGGTTCCAGAGGTTCAGAGAGTGGTGGTAGGTTTCGAGGCAGTTCACAGCATGGTAGTTCTCTCAGAGGCAGTGGTCAATCTCACAGAGGTATGTCCAACTTTAATCCTAATGCCTTGGTTTGTCAGATCTGTGGAAAGCTGAATCATACTGCCCTAGACTGCTGGTACAGAATGGACTCCTCTTTTCAAAATAGTCCACAGCAATCCTCCTTCACTCAAAACAATCTAACAGCCTATGCTGCTTCTGCCTCACCTTCATCTGTAGCCTCCACACCTTCATCCTCTTCAAACTGGTTTCTTGACTCTAGTGCAACCAGTCATATAACTAATGAGCTCACTAATTTCTCCTCTTATCATCCCTATTCTGGACAAGATCAAGTTGATGTTGGTGATGGCTCCACTTTGCCTATCACTCACACTGGTAATGGTCTCCTTCCCACACCTACACTTCCTTTTCAACTTCACAATCTTCTTCATGTTCCTTCTATCTCTTCAAACTTACTTTTCATTCATCAATTAACTAAAGACAACAACTGTACTGTTACTTTCGATGCCCATTCTTTTCTGATTCAGGACAAGGCTACTTAGAAAGTGCTACATAGAGGACCTTATGCTCATGGCCTCTATCCTCTTTCTTCATCCTCTTTTGTATCTTCTTCTTCACCAGCTTGCTTCTCCTGTACAAAGCAGTCTGCTGCTCCCAACTGGCATTTACGACTAGGACATCCTTCTTCTCAAAAATTTCAGCATGTCTTGGCACATAATAGATTCATGCATTCATCTTCTGTACATAATTCAAATAATAACTCTGCTTTGTGTGAACACTGTTGTGTAGCTAAAAGTCATAGGTTACCTTTTTGCTTGTCTAACTCAACTGTGAACAAGCCCTTAGCCCTTATTCACACAGATGTTTGGGGTCCCTTTTCAGCCTCTTATTCTGGTTATAAATACCATGTCCTATTCATTGATGATTTTAGCAAGTTCACTTGGATTTTTCCTCTTCATTATAAAAGTGAAGTTTTTTCAAAATTTCTGGAATTTAAAGCCTTTGTTGAAACACAATTTGCTACTCATCTTCAAGTTTTAAGAAGTGATAATGGGGGAGAATATCTTAGTCTTCATTTTCAAAACTTTCTTAACCAAAAAGGTATTGTTCATCAATTAACATGTCCTCATACACCTGCTCAAAATGGTGTAGCCGAAAGAAAACACAGACATTTAATTGAAACTAATATCACTCTCATGCATCATTCTTCCATGCCATTGATTTACTGGTTTGATGCTCTTGCTACTGCAGTCTTCTTGATCAATAGATTACATACTCTTAAACTGCAAAATCATACACCATTTGAAGTTCTTTTTCATCACAAACCAGATTATCAGTTCTTAAGAGTTTTTGGTTATAGGTGTTATCCTTGGTTAAATCCTTATTCTTCTCATAAGCTCCAACCAAAATCCATTCCCTATATATCTCTTGGCTATCAACCATCTACTAAGGGTGTCTTGACCCTCTTACTCAGAAGATCTATGTGTCTAGACATGTTGTGTTTGATGAATCTCTCTTTCATTTTCAACAAGCTTCATCTAGCTTAGCTTCATCTATCTCTTTTTCTATCCCTACTCTTTCTACTTTAGTTAATTTTTTCTGGACACCAATTCCTCCTACCTCTGCAGCAGCACCTCCTCTGTCTGCAGCAATTTCTCCTACATCTGCAGCAGCACCTACTCTGTCTGCATCACTTTCTCATCCATCTGCAGCAGTACCTCATCTATCTGCAGCAATTCCTCTTACCTCTGCAGCAGCTCCTTCTCTATCTGCAGTAACTTCTCCTTCATCTGTAGCAACTCCATCTCTTTTTTCTACTCCTGCTTCTTCTCAAGTGCCTATTTCTTCTCTCTATATTGATCTTCCTCCAATCCCTTCTTCTCATAATCATCCTATGATCACTAGGTCCAAGAGTAAGAATCACTGTCATGTTGCTTCTTCTTCTTCCCTTTGTCTTCTTGTTTCTACAGCATCTTCAGATTCCAATGAGCCACAGACTTATCAAGCAGCTGCTCAGTCTCCAGTCTGGCAAGCTGCTATGTTAGATGAATATCTGGCTTTTCAGAGACAAGGCACTTAGTCTTTAGTCACTCTTCCTCCTGATAAACAAGCTATTGGCTGCAAGTGGGTTTTTAGGCTCAAGAAAAGCTTAGATGGTTCTATTGCAAGACACAAAGCCAGACTAATTGCTAAAGGCTTTCTTCAAACTGAAGGTGTAGATTATCATGAAACATTTAGTCCTGTAGCTAAACAACCCACCGTCAGAGTTCTCTTATGTTTAGCACTTCATTTTCATTGGCCTATTAAGCAACTTGACATTTCAAATGCCTTTCTTCATGGCATTCTTGAAGAAGAAGTTTATATGCATCAACCTCAAGGTTTTATTGATGCTAATCATCCCTCACTTGTCTGCAAATTGCACAAGGCCCTCGATGGCTTAAAATAAGCTCATCGAGCTTGGTTCTCCACTTTCTCTTCCTTTCTTCTTTCTCATGATTTTGTTCCTAGTCATTGTGACTCTTCTTTGTTTGTCAAGCACACTTCTACTTCTATTACTATTCTACTTGTTTATGCAAATGATATCCTCCTCACTGGGAGTGATCCTCTCTATATCTCTACTCTTGTTCAACATATGCACTCAGCTTTTTCCATGAAAGAGTTGGGTTTGCTCAACTATTTTCTTGGTATCTCTGTTGCTTCTTCTCCTTCAGGTTATATTTTATCTCAGCCAAAATATGCTTCTGAAATCCTTGCAAAGGCAGGCATGAGTGATTGTAAACCATATTCTTCTCCCATGGCTACTAAGGTAGTTCTTCCAGAGATGGACTCCTCCTTTTCTCAGCCTAGTCTTTATAGAAGCCTAGTGGGTGCTCTACAATATCTTACCCTTACAAGACCTGATCTCAGCTTTACAGTTAACTATCTGTGTCAATTTTTACAAAATCCTTTGAATAGCCATTTTGCTGCTGTTAAACGGCTCCTCAGATATCTCAAGGGTACCTTGAGTCATGGCTTGCATTTTACCTCTGGCCCTCTTATTCTCAATGCTTTTTCAGACTCTGATTGGGCTGGCAATGCTCTTGATAGACGGTTCACCACAGGTTACTGTGTGTTTCTTGGTCCCAACCTCATCTCTTGGTGTGCTAAGAAGCAACCAACAATTTCCAAATCTTCCTCTGAGGCAGAATATCGTGCTTTAGCTCAGGTTTCTACTGAGTTGAGCTGGATTGGCATGCTTCTTGCTGAACTTCATGTCTCTGTAGATGTTCCTACTTTATGGTGTGATAACTTGTCTGCCATTGCCTTGGCTCACAATCCAGTCTTTCATGCTAGAACTAAGCATATTGAAGTAGATCATCATTTTGTTCGTGAGAGAGTTGCTACCAAGAAACTTGCTATTTGCCACATTGCTTCTACTGACCAAATTGCAGATGTTCTTACTAAGCCTCTCTCAGTTTCCAGATTTCAATATCTTCAGGGCAAACTTCAGGTCATTCCCACTTTCCTCAGTTTGCGGGGGACTGTTAAGCATAAGGCTCAAGATGAGGCTCAAGATGACTCAGCTCTTCACTCATCTTCTCAGCTGCACCAAAGCTCCTCAGCTACAACAGCTTATACTTGATACAAGACAGAGCAGCCGCATGAGTTGCAGTGCAGCTCAGCTAGAGGTTGGGAGTTGTTAGTTTGATAGTTAGTTTGTTAGAACTAGAGTTAGATTGTAGTTATGGTTAGGTTAGGAGGTTAGGAGTTGTAGTTAAGAGATAGCTTATCTCTATAAATATATGTTCTGTAATTCTATCTGTGTTGAATAAGAAGATCAAATTCTCTTTAAAATGCATATGCTATAGTACAATAGTTGAAATAAATGTTCTCATCCCTAACTTTTTCACCTTTTTTGAATCAATTATTTTACTTAATTTTACAATTCTTTCCCATCAGTGTAGGACTTATAAAAGTATGAGATCCACCTCATGAGAAGATTGTAACTGGTTATTAATTTTTGTGTTCCTAAACTATTATAAATAAGGTTAGAGATTTTAAAAAATTATTAGAAGTCTTTAACAATACTCACATGGGTATAGTCTCCAACCTCATGTGAAAATTATGTAAAAATTTGAATTTTTTTTTTTTTTTTTTTTTTGGGAGTCTCTAAGATTTTTAAACTTTTATTTTAGATTGCCACGTCAGCAGGCTTTTATTTTAGATTGCCACGTCAGCAGGGAAGACAGGATGATGATGATGATGATGGTGATGATGTGGAAGGGTCAATGAATGTTGGCCACTCATGAGCCGTTAGTTATCCTTTTTAGATTCTTCCACTGTGAATTACTATTTCCAAGGCAACAACACTCGTACCCTTTCTACCAAATGCTACCTTGGCAATATCAATTTAATTTCGGCCTTTTCCAACCTAACATAACACAAGAGAGTCTTCGATGTATCCTTAACCATTGAAAAGTTGAGCTGGTTTGTTTAATAAATAAAGTGATATTTTTGGGTAGATCAAGTACTTTGGGGTGTTCTTCAACGTTCAATTCAATGGCCTCTATCTCAGCTTTGACTGCTTGTGTTAGGTTGGAACCAGCAGCTTCAATAGTGACGCAGTCCATCTCCATCAGCAGGACCAACCTCCTCCAGGTCAAAACAACACTCTTCCTTCTCCTTCATTCTTCTCCTTCATTCTTCTATTCTCTCCCCATATGTATAGATATTAACTTCATATTATTTGTGCATATTGTCAAAATTGAAGCCTGAACACTAAGATGATATTTGTTTGGATGGACTGAATTAGATAACAACATTAAGATTTTGGGATTATGTATCATATTTTATGTTTGGATTGGCCTAGAATTATGAGAATGAGGGACTAACAAACCTATCAATTGAGCAATTTAATTAATTAGTCTTAAATCTCTCTTTAATTTTCATCTTGCATCTCAGTCCTACTCTTAGGATTCAATAGTCCCTCATACATAGATATTATGTTCGTATATACTATTAGTCTGAACCCTAATTTTCTTAGTTAAATATCATATTATACATTTTATTGAATTATTAATCAAATTTTAAAATCATGTCCCAAACAAACATGTGAATGAAATGCATATTTTATTAGATCTACATGTAGTATGTCTACTTTGGAATGTTAGTACTTTCATACCCACACAAACAAGGGAGAAAATGGGGGCAAGACTAGGAAATTCCATCTTTTTAGAGGCTTGAGATAAAAAATTAAAATGAAGACTTTTGATGTTTAAACGGTAATTATAATTTTATTTTCATCTAAAATTAAATTTTATTATTTTTTAATGCAAAATTTCTAATCAGTTTTAACTAATAAATTTTTTAATTGATAAAAATGGTTAATCCATTTTGTTTGGTAGAATGTTATCATATTTGGCAAGCAATGCATGCATTAAAAAATCTAATTATCTCTTTGGTAACCATTCCGTTTTCTGTTTTTAGTTTATATTTACAAAAATTTTAAAAACTGCCATAAAACTTGTTTGATAATTTTTTTGGTTTATAAATGGTTATCTCAGTTTATAAATTTGAGGAAAAAACGCAAACTCAAAAAATGAGTTTACGTTTTCAGTTTTCAATTTTTTTTCTCAAATAATTTTTTCTTCAATTATTTTTTTCAATTAATTTTTTTTTTCATTTAATTCCTTTTTCAATTAATTCTTTTTCAATTAATTTTTTTCAATTATTTTTTTAATTAATTTTTTTCATTTTTTTTCAATTAATTTTTTTTTCAAATATTTTTTTTTCAATTAATTTTTTTGATTAATTTTTTTCAATTATAATGTGTGTGATCCCATTGTCATAAATAATAAAAATAAATATAAATATTTTAGGCCTGAACAAATATATTTTTTAGTTTATGTTTTTAAAAAATTTAACCAAACGCGTTTGTAATTTATGGTTTTTCTAAAAATAAACAAAAATCAGTATATAAAATTTTTGTAAACATAAATCAAAAACGTAAACGTTACCAAACGCTATCTTAATAGTCCAATTCCGTGTGTCTTCCTTTTCTCTTTGTTTAATTTTAAAATACAAAAATTATTTTAATTCAAAAAAATTAAATTGGGAAAATGTCATAACAGTGGAATTTATATATATATATATATATATATATATTATAAATTAATGATAAACTTTATAAATATTAATAATAAAAGTAATAAACCTTTCCACCTATATGTAATTATTTTTAAAAAATAACACTGCAGTGTAATTTTCCCAATTGAATTTGCATCATCAATATGATAAACATGTTTCCTAAAATTAGGGTTACTTTTTCAAACATTATTGTTAATGATTTTAATTTTTTTATAACTAAAAAAGAATAAAGAGATAATTAAAGCCGTGAGATTCTTGAATTTGTAGTACATTATTTATAGAAGCGTGCTATAAAAAATGCACAACCATTTTAAAAGCTTTATTAACCAAACTCTTATGTTGTATTTTGGTTCATTCAACCACACAATTTATGTAATAACAAAATAATTCATTTCAAATGTGCCATATTTATGTTTAGCTAAAATACTAGAGTCTAAGTATAAATGTGCCACAAAAACTAACCAAATCAACAATTATGGTTTGTTTGTGATGCTTAAAATGTCCAGGCAACTGGAAGAAATTCATGTTTAAACACGAAGACAAAGCTAGTTTCTGTGGGCTTCTCAAGGACTAGTTTCACTTCACTGAAAACCTCTCGCTTCTGCGTTTCTTGCGCGGTAGTTTCAGCTTCTCCCTCTCTATCTTTAGCTTAAACACGAATTATTATTTTTTTCTGCGAAGTTTGGCAAACATGTCTAGTGAGAAATTACATGAAGTGCATAAATTGACAGGCAAAGCCCGAGACAGTGGAGAAAGTATGTGAAATTGTGAGGAAACAATTGGCATTGCCACCCGAATCTGAGCTCACCCCTGACACCAAATTTGCTGCACTTGGTGCCGATTCCCTTGACACTGTGAGCTTATCCCCTCATACTCTAAATTTTTTCTTTTAAATTAATTTAATTTTTTTTCATTTAATTTATGTAATTACAAAAAGTTGTGTATATATGTTTATGTGGATGAGAACAGGTGGAGATTGTAATGGGACTGGAGGAAGAGTTTGACATTAGTGTGGAAGAGGAGAGTTCTGAGAACATTACCACTGTCCAAGAAGCAGCTGACCTCATTGAGAAACTTGTTCAAAAGAAATCTGAAGCTTAGAAAATAAGCCGGTAGTACTGGTTGAGATAAAAAATGATATGCACTCGAGAAAAATATTTAAAAAAGTGCACAGAATTTAACGTATGGCTTAAATTTACACTTGGTGTAGTATGCCTCACATATAGAATAAATCTAATCCGTGTATTTCAAATTCTGAGCACTTTTCTACCTATTTTTTTTTAGTACATAGAATTTTTGGTCTCAGATGGCCAAAACGTGACGCAAGTGAAATTTTTTGAGTATGTGTGAGGTAGGATCGTTTGGTAAAGCTAGCTCTCGTTTTTTTTTTTTCCCTTCTTCATTTTTTTCTCTGCCTTTATTCATATTTGTTAGAAAAAAAAAAACATGAAGGTATTGGAATTAATGAGATCCAATTTTCTTTTTATTTTGTTTCTTTTGGGTATTACTCTTTTGTAATGTGTTAGTATTGCTTTTCCAAACCCTTTGCCACAGATGATTTGCTAGTGCTTTTTCTAATATTTATTGCAATAGCAAAAGTTCTGTTTGGATGAAGTAATGCTCTATTATTATTTTCTTATTTGTGGTTCTGGCTTGTTGCTAATCCCCATTGGAATATTTTGCATTTCTCAGTGTCTTTGGATTGACAGTTCTACAATGAAAGGGCACAATAGTTATCAAGGTGGACCTCTAACCTTCTTTTTTGGTAAGGTTAAGTTTTATTCAAGAACCAAAGAAAACAATCAATATTTTCACTCTTTTTATTCAAGTTTCCAAGTTTCATTTTTAGCATTTAGAATACAAGGATTAAAATGAAAGGCCCAAAAATAAAATCTGTGATTTCAAAATTTTTTGAGAGGGTTATGCTCGTTTTTCCACTGGCTCGCTTACAGTACTGCTTGTTATGCACGAGTATGGGTTCAACTACTATTTTCACTCTTTTTCTTTCTTTTCTTTTTTAGCATTTAAAGTCCAATTGCAGTAATCAGGGACCTTGACCCAACTTTAAACAACTTTTTTTAACAACCAAGTACCAATTTTAACAACTTAAAAATCATGGAACTTAACTTCTAAGTAAAATTTCAATTTTTAATATGGAATTTAGCAACCAATGTTACTTTTTTATGGCTTCTACATGACAGGTGATGATTCTATATCATGAGAAATCATTTCAGCAGATTAACCAAAATTTCCAGAAAATAATTTCTGGGATTTTAACTTTTAATTCCAATTTCAATATCTAATAATAACTTTGGCTCAGCTATAAACCACAAATTCAGCAGTAAAAGAAAAGAGGTTGTTGCAGCTTCTAAAAGTATCAAGTACAGCAGTTAACTCATGAGCTTGTAGTTTCTAATTAGTATTTCAACATTTTTTATATAGTAACTAATTGACCACATTAGGTCGGAATTTAAATGTAAAAACTTCAGTACTGAGATTTCTATTTTTTTTAACATCAAAAGAAAATTTCTTATTTTAAGTATTTAACTGAATAACAAAGGAACCAAAGCAAGTATTCAAAGAAAATAAGCCATATCAATAAAATCCTACTTGCTCAATTCTCAATGGAAGTCATGAGTGTTAATGTACACCTCCTACACCACTAAAACCTACCACTACCACTACACACCTCCACTACTCCTCACCCACTCCACCTACCACCTCCACTTTACCTACTACCACCACCCACTCTACACCTACTACTCCCAAAACCTCTCTATATATAGGACTTGTAATATACAGATACATACATCAATACAACAATCTTGTAATAAATACAATCAATAATACATTTCTCTATTTCTTTTTATACATTGCATTTTCTTACAATGAGGAACAAACAAAAACTTGAAAATGCCCAACTGCACTCTTTCTACTCGATTGGCCAGATCTCTTGCATATAATTATGAGATTAATGGTTCGAATTCAGATTTTTTTCTCCCACTTTGATAGTTTCTTTCTATTAATTATATATTATATTTGACTTTTAAAGTAATATCATATGTAAATTAAATAAATAAACAAACAAATAAATAAAAACTCTTTCCAAGTTCATATGAAGCTGAAACATTTAACTATTCCTCTTGTCTTAGGAAGAAAATTATTGGGGGAATTTCAGATTAGTGCAAAATTTGGCAAATAATTGTTTTAAAATATTAAACTCAAAATTAATTGACAATGAGTGAAAAGGCTTGTGGAGGTGATTGAGAGGTTAGATTGAGAAATGGACCGTTTTTACCACATGATGTAAGAGGCCACCCAAGACCATGTTAAAGTATCCAATTCAAAATCAATTGGTAACGAATGGAGAGACTCTTGCATTATATTAACCAAGCTTGAGTGGCTTAGATTGGCAATGTGGGTTTAAATCGAATGATTGTGATGTTCGATTGAGAGAAGACCATTTGTACATGACGTAAGAAACCACTCAAGACCCAACTTTGATACCATGTTAAAACATCCAACTCACCCAAGCTTAGTTAATATAATGTAAGGACATCTCTACTCTTGGCCAAGTGGTTTTGTGTCTGATATTTCAACAAATTATAAATTAATGATGGGAAATTCTAACACACACCCTTGAAAGGGGTGTACCACCCATAGTCATGCCATTTTTTTATTAGTTATGATTAAATTTTTTTTCTTTAATTATGACATTATTTTAGTTATCTCTCATGTTGTGTTTGGTTATGACATTTTTTTTTTTAGTTATGACTCAGAAAATATAAAGTTATAACATTTTTTTCTTTAATTATAAGGGATATGTGGTACACATTTTTTGAGAAATATGTACAATAGTGTTTTCCATTAATGATAAACTTTATCAATATTGATAATTATAATTATAATTTTTTTTCATACATATGTAATAATTTTCTCAAATTAATTACCATTAACAAGTAATTCTCTAAAATTATTTTGCTTACTTTTAAAACATGAGAAACACTATGGTGCACATCCTTCAAATGGTGTGCACATTATCCATCTTATAATTAAAAAAAAAATGACATAAATTTAATTTTCTGAGTCATAACTAAAAATATATATATAACTAAATACAACATGAGACATAACTAAAGAATTCATGAGTCATAACTCAAATAATGTCATAACTAAAAACCAAAATTGATCATAACTAAAAAAAATAACATAATTAGGAGTGCATATAGTACACCATTTTTAAAGAGATTAATATTAGAATTTCCCTTAAAACATAGGAAATTCTAAGGTACATTGCACTCGTTTGGCATAATGTTTTGAAGCTAAAATAACCATAAAAAAACAAAATAGGTTAAAAAGTTAATAAGATAAAATGCCGCATCCAATCCATAATCATTTTTTTTTCTCTCACAAAAGTCAAAAAGTCAAAAAATCCATCACAAATGAAGCTTTTTAGCCCTAGGCTAAAATAGTTAAAGAGCCAAAAAATTAACCCACATTCCAAACTAAAGAAAAATTCTATTTCCATAAATCTTTTTATCTCTGTGCACACAATTAATGAAATAAAATTTTAACGATAATTTTATCATGAAACAAAATGACCATAATGAACATCAAAACACACATTAAATATTAAATAGTTTTCTATGTACACATTTTTTTAAAAAAATCAGCTTGTTTGGTTTCGTTTTTCTGAAAACAATTTTCAGAAAATTCTACTTTCTTATTTTTCGTGTTTTTTTTGTTTTTAATGAATTTTTTTAATATTTTAAGCAATTTTTTTAATTTGTAGATATACCTAACAAAAAAAAATTTGTGAAAAAAAAAATTGTGAAAAAAACTTTTTAAAAATTCACTAAATACCAAAAATACAAAAAAAAAATACGAGAATTCAGTACATTTTTTATATTTTTATGTATTTAATAATTTTTTAAAATATTTTTTCACAAATTTTTTACTTTTTAGATACATCTAAGTAAAATGCATCTAAAAAACTAAAAAAATGTTTAAAATTTTAAAAATTTAAAAATTTAAAAATATTCACTAAAAACAAAAAAACATGAAAAACAAAAAACTCAATTTTTAAAAAACTTAATTCAAAAAATTCAAACCAGACACTGAATAATTTTCAATACACATCTTTTGAGAGGGGGAAAAAAATCGTATTTTTTTCATTGTTAAACATTCGAAACTACATAACACCATTTCTGAAATCACCTGAACACCATTTCTGAAATGACCTTCAGTTGACTTCAACACCATATCGCCATGCTTTTCTTCTCTCCTACTTTCTTAGTACCATTGCCAAGCTTCGCTCCAAATTGTCCGAGTATCAACTTCTAAATAAAATAGTCAACACCGCCAAATTGCAAAACGACCAGTCAAGTCAAAATTTCAGAAATCAAATATCGGAAGATTGTTAAACATTCGGAGCTAATAAATTTAACGACAATGCTATGTAACTCAAATTTTGTGGCTCAAAATTGGCTCAAATGGCCAAAACGACGTCGTTTTGAGTACAGAACAACATAAAAATGGCCAAAACGACGTCGTTTTGGCCATTTGAGCCACTTTTGAGCCACAAAATTTGAGCTACGAGACATTTTTGTAAATTTAAACAGTTCAAAAATCAAGTATCAAAATTTTATAAATAAGTTAGAAGTATAGAATGAAAATTTTACAATAATTTCAAAAGTAAATAATTGAGAGAATCTATTTTATTCGGAAAAATAATACTAAATGTGCAAAATTTATTTCATTCGGAAAAAAACGACGTATTATTCCAACATGAGATTTATCATACAAAGGTTTTATTTGGGAAGTTGCTATTGTAGTAGATGTGTGTGTCAATTTCCGACCACACTGCCAATCAAATACTCAGCTGGAGAACACTAGCAGAATAGATTAAGCCCGAACGACCTGTCACAAAGAAAAGAGATTCTGACGGTGGTTCGTCCACCCGATGACACTCCGACGATCAAGTCAGTTATCTCTCAAAGATAGCAAAAGTGCTTAACTCACTATTCAGAGCATAAAAAGCATATCTTAGACCCATGAAGGTGCCTCTCTTTTATAGCCAATACAAACCTAGTCTCAATAGAAGCCTAGTTTCAATGGACTTAGGATTACTGCTAATCTTGGACTCCTAGTAGGATTGGGATAAACTCTCCAAGAGTCTTATCTTTACTCAAACTGAAGTCATTTCTCATTCTAGGACTCTTGTCCCTTATCCGCTTATCCCGAATTCTGGTATCTTCGCAGATAACCTCGGCCTAGCCGAGATGATCTCGGTGTGATGACCAAGACACGTGGCACCTCAGCTAACACGTCGGTAACACCTCGGCCACGTGTTGTCATTCAAAAATTATGTCCCCACAGTAGCCTATTTTAATTTTTGGCTATTTTAGTAGGCTAAATTTTTTGTATTTAGGAAGATGATTAGATT